GTCAATTTTCCAATGATGTAGTCAATTTGATTTCTGTGTATTCCATCTGGTGTGGTCTAAGTGTTGTTTATAAAAGGTATTTGCAATGAATAAGTCATTGGTCTTATAAAATTATGAAATCTCCAGCACTGTTTCAATCACTAAAGCCATATTTACCAACTATTGATCCTCCCTCCTTTGCATTCCAATCACCAGTAATTACCCATACATCTTGATTGCAGTTTATCAATTTCATATGAAGAATTTGGAAATATTCTTTAATTTCATCATCAGTGGCTTTAATAGTTGGTTCATAAATTTGAATAGTGCTATTAACTGGTGTTCCTTGTAAGCATATGGATGCTATTCTATCACAGACAGCATTATACTTCAAGGTGTTGTTGTTATAAGTGTTGCCAAATTGGTTCTGACTCACAGTGACCCAGTATAGGGTTTCCAAGGAGCGGCTGGTGTGTTTGAACCACCCACCTTGTGGTCCAGTGCTTATCTCACAGCGTCATACCAGGACTCCTAGCATAGTAAACCATCTGATTGTCAGATTCAAAATAGCAAATACTAGTCCATTTCAGCTTACTAATTCCTAGTATTATCGATCTTTATGTGCTACATTTCATTTTTGATAACTTCCAATATTCCTAGATTCATACATCGTACATTCCATGTTCTGATTATTAATGTATGTTTACAGTTGTTTCTACTCATTTTGAGTTTTGCCCCATCAGCAAATGAAGGTCCTAAAAGCTTTTGAATTTTGAGTGCCTTCCAAACAATGTCAACCCACCAACTGCTTCTCGGAAATCCTATACAGGGTTGCTATGATTTGGAACTAACTCAATGAAACTTATCAACAACAACATAATTTACATTAGGGGTCATGCTTTGTGTTGTTCTGTTTTGTGGATCTTTTTTAAAAAAAATGTTTTATTGTGAATTATATGATAGTTTACATGGGAGTACATTAGCTTTACATTCATCCTATCATGTATCATTACATTACCTGGTTACAATTCCCTCCATGCATCATCAACCAACCGAATGGTACAGCCCGCAAGGCTGGCTGCCCCCCCCCCCCGGGTCTAAAGTCCCCAGTCACTTTGTCTCCACATCATCATCTCTGCCTCCATCTCTGGTATCACAGTTTCTCTGGGTAGGGAGTTCTGCACTCTGCTCTTCTCCCTTGATAGTCCCAGGGACCTCCACTCTTGGATTGCATTGTCAATCACTCCCCTCCTTTTGCTACAAAACATCTGCCTTTACATTTCCAACCCTCACAGTCTGTCCTGATAGTAATTAGTCACTATTGTACCACATGAGTGCTATGCACATCTCCTTTTGTTAGTGCCACCCAGATAGACTGGATACTACTTAGTGGAGATTCTACCTTCTTCCAGGCCCTTTGGATCTAGGCTCCCTCTTGAAAGCTTGTAAGCCAGTCACTTCTTGCCTTTGTAGCCCTGGCCCCCCATTTTGGGCAGCCAATGTCCAAGTTGCCCCTCCCTGTCTACCCTGTGTATTGAGGGTGTGGGAATGACCCTCACTGTAAAGATTTGCTCCCTCTTTTGAGCTACTGCATCCATAGGTGTAAATCAAGTTCATCAAATTGTATCAGATAACTCTTTGTAGATGCTTCACTCTCCACTCTAGTCCTCTGTGGCTATGTCACTGACTCTGGGCCCAGGAATCCCCAGGTCTTGCCACACTGCTGGCTAACCAGATCTCCACCCAGGTTCACAGGAGTCTATTGAATGTGGTTGTACTTAGCTCACTTCATTGTTGTTTTTCCCTCACTTCCCCTTATTGGTGACCAATGTACTCGTGTATTCCTCTTATTGGTGATGTATCTGCTCATGTATTCCCATCGAGTCTCAATCTTGGAAGGGGGTTTGCCCTGAGGGGACCCGACCACATGCCTTGATGTCTCCTGAGCAGTTCTTTGGATTTTCACAAATGTATAATATAATGTTTCTGCCATTATAGTTTCACCACTGTCAAAATTCACTGTGCTTCACTTATTTGGCTCTTCCCCCTTGAAAACCTACATTTCCTCTCCTTTCTTATCATATCAATTATATCAAAACCAAGCCAAAGACATTGCCATCAAGTGGATTTTTACTCATAGTAAATGTATATGCCAGACTAGAAACTCCATGGAGTTTTCAAGGCTATAATCTTTGTGGAGGTGAATTTCACATCTTTCGCCTGTTAAGCAGCCGGTGGGTCAAAAGGCAAACCTTTTATTTAGCAGTAAATGCTAAACCACTGCACCACCATGGCACTTATTTGAAATTTTATATTACTTACTCTAGAGTTCGCAATATATATTTACAACGAACCTAAATACATTTTCAAATAACATGATACAGCTTTATGTAGTTGTTAAGAGTCCTTGAGTCAGTTCTAACTCATAGCAACCCTCTATAGTGTTTTGGAAGAGCGGCTGGTGGGTTTGAACCTCCAACCTTGTAGTTAGTAGTCCAGTGCTCACCCTACAATGCTGTACCAGGACTCTTTATGGGTAGTTGTTGTTGTTAAGTGACCTCATGTCATTTCTGACTCATAGTAACCCTGTATAGGGTTTCTAAGGCTTTAAATTTTCACAGGAGCAGTAGGAGTATAGGCTCAAACCTTGGACCTTGTGGTTCACCAGTGTTTTATCATATGAAACCATGGTAATATAGGTACCTTATAACTGTGTCTTCCTAATTCCTCCCTTCTATCTCTTATAACAAGGAGCTCTGGTAGAGTAGTGGTTACGAATCGGGCTGCGAACCTTAAGGTCAGCAGTTCGAAACTACCAGCTGTTCTGTGGGAGAAAGATGAGGCTTTCTGCTCCCATAAAGATTTACAGCCTCGGAAACCCTGTACAGGGTCACTATGAGTTGGAACTGACTCCACGGCACATAACAACTATAACAACATCTCTTATAACACTGCTGCCATTTATTCCATGTATTCATATACTATAATCAGCCAATACCTGTCTACTATAATTACTTTGAATGAATGGTTACCTATAAGGTCAATTTGAAATTAGAAAAATGAAATATTTTATTTTATCTTTATCCTTTCTCACACTCTGATCTACTTTTTGGCCTATATTACTTTCCTTCTGTTCAAGAACTTCTTTTAAAATTTCTTGCAAGGTAGATCTACTATTGACAATTTCCTCGGTCTTGTTTGAGAAAATCTTTATTATACCTTCATTTTTGAAGGATAATTTCACCAGGTGCAGAATTCTAGATTAGTGCTTAATTTCTTTCAAAATTTTAAGTATTTCATTCCACTCTTCAAAATAATTCTTATCCTTACTTCTCTCAAACTTATTTTTTGTTGTTGTTATTAATTTCACCTCCACCCTCATTTTCTTTTTTTCCCTGGGATAATGATATAAATGTTAGATCTTTGTTATAGTCCCAGAGGTCCCTGAGGCTCTGTTATTAATTTATTTTTCAGACTACCTTTTTTATGTTTTTCAGACTGGATAATTTTGATTGTTCTCTCTTTAGGTTTACTCATTCTTTCTTCTATCCATTCTATTCTGCTGGTGGTGGGCTCATCTATTGGTTTTTAAATTTTCGGTTATTATGTTTTTTTCAGTTGTAAAATTACCATTTGTTTCTCTTTTTTGCTGACCCTTCTATTTCTTTGATACTTCTATTTTCTCATTTGTTTCAAGATTGTTCATCAATACTTACTGAAGTATTTTTATACTTTTTACACTGTCATACATGAGTCTCACTTCTGTTGTCTCAGTGTAGTTGTCTACTGAATGCCTTTTTATTTTGAGATTATGATGAATAATTTTTGAAACTTGGACATATCATGGGTATTATGTCATGAAGTCTGTTTTATTTAAACCTTTCATTTGAGCTGGTTTGTTTCACACAGCTTCAGCAGAGAAAGTGGAGGGTACTGTCTCATTAATGTCAGGTGAGGTTTGAAGTCTAGATTACTCAGTTGGCCTCCTTTGACATCAGAGGAAGTGGTCTCCTCATTGCTGTTGGGCAGAGTTCTTGCTTACATTAAAACTCTGGCTGGGAGAGATGGCAGTGTCGCCTTTCCACCAGTCCAGCTCTGATCACTCCAGTGGGAAGGGGAGGGGCAAGAGTGGGATCTAGCTTTCCAAGTGATTTATCCACAAACACCATAGGGAAAAGAGAATTTTTGTTATGTCTGGTAAAAGTGAAAGTTTTGACTTTCTACTAAGACTTCTCTGACATCACTCACAAGTGGAGGCCAAGACTGGTTTGGAAGCTTGTTTTAACCTGGAAAGAATGGAAGACTAAGTTCTTAACTCAGGTTCTTGAGATAGGAGCTTATGACAGGTTATCTTAGTGGACTGAGTCTCACTACATAGGTGTGTAAGAGTGAAGACGCTGTCCCAGTTGTGGTCACACAGAGATGGAACTGCAGAAAAAGGACAAGGCAGATGCAACATTGTAGGCGGGGGCAGGGTGTGGATGGCATCTAGAAGGGGGAAAAAAGGCAAGGAAACAAATTCTCCTCTAAACACTTAAGAAAGGAACAAAACCCTGTTGACATATTTATTTTAGTTCAGTGACATCTGTGTCAGATTTCTAACCGACAGAACTGTAAGGTAATAAATATGTGTTATTTTTAGCCCATATGTTTATAGTAATGTGTTATACCAGAAATAGAAAATTAATAGTTTTCCTATAAATCAATAGTCAAATCTTATGTTTATCTAGAGACAAATATTTTTTCAGTTTGAATGAAAATTTGGAAATATAAAAATCTCATATGAACCTCATGAGGTTCATCACTGCTTATCCTTCTGAAAAACCTTAGTTTTGAATGATTAAGAATTCCAAACTGAAGGAAAAAGAATTCCCAAATGAGACACTATACATTGCATCTTGATTATGTTTGGCACATGAAAGTATTCAATAATGTCTATTGAAGTTATTGAATACTAAAACAAAATAAGTAAAAATGGGGAAATAATATTTCTTAAATCCTTAGAATGCATAAACCATGTCAGAGTACTTATATTAATTTATTACTGTGCATTATAATTATATTTTGCAGATAGTGAAGCAAGTTCTCTAATGGATATTGAAAATGTAATTCTCGCTAAAATCCACGACGATGAAGAAGACCACTCAGATGCAATATTAAAATCTGACAAGTTCCTTCAACACTTATTTTTTATGGAACGGGTTTTAATGGAAAATGTATTTCAGCCAAAACTTGCAGCTTATCGTCAGCTTCCTGTTTTAAAAGGTATTAAAAAAAAAATCACACGTAGACAAGCTCAAATGATTGAAAAAATAAATGAGGTTATATATAGTTCTAAATGTAATCTCCAGACTGGTTTAGCTATTGCTTATCTGCAGACAGGTTTACATACTTTCAGCAAGAAACATATGAGTAGCCATAAGCTTCCATAAGATGATGTCATTTCTTAGATTCAACACTTCATAAGCTTCTGTGGCTTTTTCCTCCTCCCATTCTGCATTAACTAGTTGCTTATTTTTATAGTGTCTCTCTTGTTCAATTCTTCTTTCCCATTACTGATGACTCTTGAGGGATTCTGGCTTTAAGTCTCCTTAATTTGATTGCAAGGCATTCTTCCTGTTAACTTTGCTATTCAAAGATTCCATCTCATTGTTGTTGCTGTTGTTGTTAAGTGCTGTGGAGTTGGTTCCGACTCATAGCGACCCTGTACAGGGTTTCTGAGGCTGTAAATCTTTACTGGAGCAGAGAGCCTCATCTTTCTCCCATGGAACAGCTGGTAGCTTCGAACTGCTGAACCCTGAGGTTAGCAGCCCGATTCGTAACCACTACCGTACCAGAGCTCCTTCTCATAGGTTCACATATTCCATCTCATACGTTCACAGACTACATAAGTCAACGATTTCAATTTTATAATGAAGAGAATGAAGCATAAAGAAACTTTGTAAGGGATGGTTTGTAACAGGATGGTTGTGTGATCAACTGCACACTCCTGTTACCTCACAAAAATAACAAAAACAAAGCAAACATGCCAACAACAAAAACAAAAACAGACAGAATCAACTTAGTGAGAAATTTGGAAACCAATACAAAAGTTATAACTATTAAGTGAAAACTGAACCAGGGAACGGTGATACCACCCCTTATCACTTTTTATATGATCAAGTTAAAGTGGGGGAAGCCCACACTCCCAGAGAGGGGCACATCTAGATGGAGCAGAACAAACTATATATACTATCATATGTATCAGTTCTAACCTACCTTTATTGTTGTTAAGTGCTATTAAGTCTAACCCACCTAGAGGCTGCCATAAAGACTGATGGAAACTGCTCATCTCAGGTGGGGCTATCTCAAATTTCAGGTAGGAATGTAAGGCAACAGGAAATGACCTAAGGCCACAAGTGCCTGTAAAGTGTGTCATCAAGTCATATAAACCCACTGCCATCTAGTCAATTTTGACTCATAATGATCATGTAATATTTATGGTACCAGGAATCCTCATCTTTCTCTTGCAGAGTGCTGGTGGGTTTGAATTGCCAAACTTGTGATTAGCAGTCTGGTGCTAACCTATCCTACAGCTTTACCTGGTATCTAAAGGCTAGGAAGAAAGACTTGGGATAGAGTTTCTTTCAGAAAGTAAGGCTTTCAAAAACACTGTGTATATGAGGGGATTGAAAAAGTCACACACATGCCCAGAGAAAGATGAATACTCAGAAAGTACCTGAGAAGACTTGCACATCAGACTGCTCTCTAGGTTCATTGCAGTCCCTGGGAATCCCTGGGGGAAGGGGCAGAATCTGATCTCCAGAGGCACCACAATTATAGTATTCAAATGTCTCAGTTTTAACAACAACAAAAATAATCACAAGACCTACAAAACATAGGAAAGAACTTTATCTTCAAAATGTAGTGACAGAAATTGTTCCTGTGGAAGTTAAGAGATTTACTAGATAAAGACTTTAAAACATTAGTATTGAATATGTTCAAAGAGCTAAGGGGAAACACACACAGAAACTACAGGAAAGTGATGAACAAAATGAGAGTATCAATATAAAAGAACCAAATATAAATACTAGAACTAAAAAGTATAATATGAACTGTATAAAAGTAAAAATGAAAAATTAACTGGGAGTATTTAATAGCTGATTTGAGTTGGCAGGAGAATCAGTGAACTGGAGGACTGGAGAGTTGATATTACCAAATGGGAAGAGAAATGAAGAATGAAGAAAGCCTTGAAACTGATAAGATTAAATATGAAAAGAAAGAATGAAGAAATGACATTCAGGACACCATCAAGCTGACCAACATATGCTAATGGACAATGCAGAAGGAGAAGAGAAAGAAAAAGGGTCAGAAAGAACACTTAAAGAAATAAGGGCCTAAATTTCTCAAATTTGATCAAAGATATGAATCTCTTCTTCCAGGACGCTCAACAAACTTTGAAAGTGACTAGGAAAAGGAACAACAGCTGGTGCCATACTGCAGGGCTAAAACAGCAGAGTCATTTAGATCCCTAGGCCTGAACGTGCCTAGGGCCATGTTTAGCTTTGTTATTGTTTTTGAGTGCCATAGAATCGGTTCTGACTCATAGCAACCCTGTAGCATTCCTTAAAAACTTTTAAAATAGTTCCTTTTTTAAACTCTCCTGATTGTGTTTTATTGTTTTAATTGTGTATGCTATTGCTGTTATGTGCTGTGGAGTCGTCGGTTCTGACTCATAGCGACCCTGTACAGGGTTTCCAAGGCTATAAATCTTTACCAGAGCAGAAAGCCTCATCTTTTTCCCACAGAACTGCTGGTAGTTTCGAACTGCTGATCCTGAGGTTAGCAACCTGACTCGTAAATATATATGTATATATTTATATATATATGATGGTTGTGTGCCATCAAGTCGATTCCGACTCATAATAGAGACCCTGTATAGAGTTTCTGAGACTGTAAATCTTTATGGGACTCCTTTATGGGAGTAGAAAGCTTTATCTTTCTCCCATGGAGTGACAGGTAGATCTGAACTGCTGAGTTTGAAGTTAGTAGCCCAGCTTGTACTATGCTTTTAGGGCTCCAATTTGTTGTTGTTGTTAAGTGCCATTGAGTCACTCCAATATATACGTGTGTGTGTGTGTATATATATATATATTGGTTCTTTTGACAGCCCATGGCACTTTCAATATTCTCCTCCAACACCATAACTCAAAAGCATCAATTCTTCTACCGTCTTCCTTATTCACTGTCCAGCTTTCACATGCATATGTTCAGACATATTGTCAGGAGGGAGCAGTCGCTGGAGAAGGATAACAT